TTTGTGTTGCGAGGTGTCACCCACTCCATTTTTTGGCAGAGCTCCAGGGTTTTCAGCAGCTGCCTGGGTAGAAGATTTGCACATCACCACATCTTTGTGACTGAGCAGGGCCAGTTCTGCAGCTGTCCAAAGCACAAGAACCCATCTGGGAGAAAGGAGAATGCTGCTAACTCTATTAGGAGGCTGGGAGAACAGGAGAACCTCAAAACTTTTAGATCACCGAGCAAGCACCTCCTCTTTACATTCATTGCGTGTCCTTTCTGACCACAGATGCTTCTTGGTATGGCCACTCCTCTGTAGACTCTGCCCCTATATATGTTCTTCTTCCTTTTTGCAGTCTCTGCCTTTGTGATAGGTAGGCCACATTCTGTACTTGCTTCCAAACCTCATTCCATCTTTTCTGCACCAGATCTTGACCACTTCTGCTCCAAACTGGACTGATTCTTGTTTCCTCATCTCTTTGTTTTTGCACCTGTATCCCAGCTGGACAATTCCACTGTTCTCCTGCAACCTGTTATTAACCATTTCTTGTCATTCTCGGCTTCTCTCTATGAGGCATTTATTAATCATTCATGATCCTTCAATCATAGAAGTTGGTAGGTACTGTCATCCTCTAGGGCTTCTCCTGCATTTTTGACCATTTTCAAGGCTTTTTTAAAGCCTGACAAACTGGAAAAATGACTTGTGTAATTCAGCCATTGTGTTATACTGCTGCGCCCTCTTGTGTTTACATAATACAAAATAAAGGAAAGCAGAGAAAGTAAAATCTCAGGGGGAGAAAGCCTATGTAAAAGATGCTTTCTTTCTTGCACAAAGAAAACAGAAGAGCAGGGACTCATGAAAGGTCAGGTTAAACACGTTGTGTAGAGAAGCCATCTCTCTGCTTCCCTTCAGAATGACCTGGCCCTTTTTCCATGATCTAACCCTAGAACTGTCACTTTATTCCTGGCACTCCTGTGCCTTTAACAAGAGGCTAGTACTGTACACATAGAGGAAACATTTTTTCTCTCTCCTAACACTTAACTTTAGGCCTCAAAAAGCTATGTCTACAAAAATGTTAATATTATTGAATTTTATTTGGCCAGGGCGGCTTGTTTTATATTGTATGTTGTATATTATATATTTGTATTTTAATGTATATATTTTAAAATGTTATTTTAATTTATTGTTGTAAGCCGCCCCGAGGCTTCGGCGAATGGGGCGGCATAAAAATGTTTTAATAAATAAATAAAATAAATAAAATAAATATACTATTTATCATTTGCTTCTGTACTGACCCATCTGAGCTATTTACATGATACATAGGAGCATACCCACCCTGTAGTTCTAACTTGCAAGTGAAAATGATTTTCTGTGAGCAAACAATATTGGAATATCATTGCATTGGTCCCTTTTCTACACAGAGATTATCCCCAGACTCATCACACTGGTTTGCACGTAACAATAACTCAGAATACATGTTGCCTATCTTGTGGAATCAAGGCTGTTGTTACATGTGAACCCTGCACTGTCTCAGAAATGCTGGTGCCTGAGTCTAATACAGTCTTCAGCACTTGTTTTCCTGCTGCAGTCTGTTACACAAGCCAGAACCTGTTATATCACCTCTACTGTATTTGTGAACAGGGGTGACCTTGAGTGAGCTAGAAATCTCAGCCTCAGGTATCCATTGATATAATGGAACTACTTGTGATCTATTCTCATAAGGTTGCTATAGGGACAAACTTACAGATAACAAGAGCTATAGAAGTGAGAGTGACTATTAATGGGCAAAAAGCTCTTGAGTACAATGGGCTGCAAATATCTTAAGCTGCATTTCTATTTTCAGTCTCCTCCAACTCAGCCCGGGCTCTCACAGTTTGCTGATCAGCTTTGATGTCTATAATGGAAAAAAAACCCTTTTCTTAAACTGTTTTTGATACAATACATCAGCTATCAATTCAAGCTGCATTCATAAGGACAAGCTGATACAATCCCATCCTCTGTATCTGCATTTAAGAGGTTTGTTACAAGCCCCCAAGCATGCATACAGCATCCTCCATTTTCTCTGCATGCATGTTCATTCCTGCTTTACTCAAACCAGTTTTCTGGGGAACCAGGATATGAGGCTGGGCACAAATCATGCTTTGGGATCATGATTTGTATAAATGATGCTTAGTTTGAACAAAATGATAGTTTGCCACATGCTCCAAACGGAAGCTTTCTCCTGTTCACAGGGTAAGAAGACTAAGTAATGCAAAAGCTCAATGTGCCCTGAGCTTGTAACAGCAAACTGTGGTTTATCCTGAAGTCTGAATACAGAAAGACCTAGTCTGCATGGCCATGGCATTATTAACAAGCCATGGTGGCTTACTAATCTCACCATGCATGTGGATCATGTGTTAGCTGGAAATCCCTAATTGGTCTTGCTGGTGTGCTTGTTGTGCTGTGGATGGTATGGCTTATTTGAGAGAATCCTCAAATAACCCACTGTGGCTTGTTTCCCTTGCAGCAATTGCCCCAACTGACTTTGCTTTGTAGCTTATGCCCCACTACTGTCAACCCTAGGAAATGTTGACTGGCAGGGGAAACTTCTCTGACAACTGAATACAAGAAAGAATGGAATGAACTAGGTGAAGAAAACAATGGAACTGGATAGATGAGGAAATATGGAGAGACTGGAATACAAGAAAGAATGGAATGAACTACGTGAGGAAAACAGTGCAACAGGATAGATGAGGAAATATGGAGAGGCTGGAAAAGGAGGTCAGTTAAAAATTGCTGACAAAACTATCCCACTGACTGGATTTACAGGATTGTCTCAGCTGTTTAAGCCATGAAAAGCTGCAGTGCTCATAAGCGCCATCCTGAAAACTCAAGTCCTGACCTGGGGAGTGGGGAGCCCTTCAGGAACCATTGCCTGTTTTAGGGATATGCAAAAGCTGCCCATCCCTGGCACAATCCACCCCTTCTAGGTTCTGGTAATATCACAAGGCTCAGTCTTGGCTTTAATATTCAAAATTGGTGCTAGCACATGCAGATCTCCACATGGTCTATCTGAACATTTGAACAGGCCCAATTTCTAAATAAGCAACTGAGAAACTATTTTAAAATAGCTCCAGGAATGCCAACAACACCTGCTCATAAATGTTGATGGAGAAATCAATGTTTTTAATAGAGATGGGGTATGCTGGAGCATAAGTGTGTTCACCCCACTCCAAGGGGGAAAAAACATACAGGGGGAAATCTCAAATTGAGAAACTATCAGAAATGATTTGCAACCAGCACTCTACACTGCAACATTCCATTGCAGGTCCCCACTAACCATATATAAAGATCAGCAGTATTCTTCCTGTTGCTGCATGTACAGTGCTAACTATGCTCTACAACAGGATAACTAGTTTCAGAGGGCCAAGCTATCACACAATAATTCCAGCCAAAACTAACAATAAAGGTCTGCTAACTTCAGACTAGCTTGTGCAATAGAGTGCTTTAATAAAGCAGAAGTGAAAATGATATTTGGATATTTTAACTTGGGGCATAGCACTGGGCAAGTGGTTGGATTGGATGGCTTTATTGGCCCCTTCCAACTCTCCTGTTTGATTCCCTGCTGTTGATTTCATTGATGATTTATAGAAACCTGAATCACCAATGACTATCAGTGTCAAGCTAAGTGTTCACTTAGTCTGCATTTGTCACTTATGAGACACTGAAATATGAATAGAAAATCATTCTTTTCTTCATATATGAGAGAAAGCAGAATAAATTCTGCAAACTGTGGACACAAAGTGCAGAAAACTTGAAGCAAGCCCAATGAGGTTCCTACTCAAGTAGAAACGTTCCAGGTGCATCCAGAGCAGCATTCTTGTCACACTTCTTTCCATTTTTGGGGTTGTACTTACTGTTTCAGTACTGATATTTACATGTCTCGTGTACATATATACTCCCCCCTCTTTTTTTTTCTTTGCTCTTTAGTTTAGAGCTGATTATGTAAAATTTAGCCAGCACAATAGCTTAAAAAATTTGGCATGATATCCTGGGGGGGAAAGGGTGAAAGACACCTTTAGAGGAAAACACAAAAAAGCCAGATTACAGAGTCATGGAGTAGTTAGCAAAACAAATGTAATGTTCAGAGTGCACAAGGACAATGCTGCAAAATCAAGTGGAACAGCACTAGAATTCTATCTAGACCCATTTGTAGGATGGTTTGTACCACTATCAAAAAATTGAGAAATGAAATGCTAAATGGAAACATATGGCAGTCTGTGGAAGGCACTATGGACTGTGCCATGTCCTAGCATTTTTCTAAGGATGCTGTGAACCAAGTCCACTGATTCAGGCACACAAAGGATTGTTTCAGGACGTCAACCTACAGAAATATACATGGGCTAATCTGATCCCTTTCTCTTACCACTTCACACATGACTGTCTTTGAAACCAAAGCTTTCCTTAAAAAGAAACTTTTCCAAGAAGAATTGCCAGCAGCTTTGCCATTTATAAAAACAACAACCAAAAATAATGATCCAGCCATACTTTTGTTTGGATGGACTAACATTTCACAGGATAGTGAACAAATTTTTTACTTTCCCACAACTCTTTGAATTACAGACTCTCCAATAATATGCAGCCTTCTCGCCTCCCTGCCTTTTTGCTTTGTTTTTCTGTTTTGTCTAGCATCTAGCCTCAAGAAGCAGGCTGGGAACTCAAAAGTTTGCTATGTGAGGACTGAGACAGTCCTACCCACAATTTGTGTTGGATCTTGCCCTAATAAAGTACTGGCTATTAGGCATGTTTAATTTACATTCAACCAACCTTTATATCATTCTGAATTTAAGCCAGCATCTGGAACTATTTCACCAAGATTGCTTTCCTTGGCACTGGTACAGCATTGGGTAATTCCTTTCACTATCATCATGCCACAACACCTATTAGCCATTCAGTTCTCCCAGGAGGCTAACAATAGTTAAGTAGGGGTATTGTCTCTGCTTGTCTAATAGCCTATCACCACCTCTGAAACTTATTACCTGTGCTCGATGCTCTCCAACTGCAAACTGTATCATGGCAATGCCTGGGTTATGGCTGTCATCAATCCTTTCCACGGTGCTGGAGTCTATTTTCAGGTCGCTGCTAATCTCTGCACTCTGTATAAAGTCTTCAGTTTTTAAATCTTCTACCTTCTTCAGTTCTCCATTGGCCAACTGAATTATAGATCCTTTCATGAAGTACGGAGGCAGTGTAGGAGGAGCTGTTGCTGAAGAAGGTACTGGCTGGACCAGGGGTAGGTGAATCTGGGCCTGCACCACTGCCGCCTGGTAAGCTGGCTGACTTGCTAGCGACTCAGCATTGAAATTCTCACTTTTCGGAATGGTGGTTGTGACAAATGTGTGAGGCACAGCCGCCAGCTGGGGAGATGAAGTGGCTATAGCAGGCGGTACCCCCGATGAGTCGATATCTGCATTGCCTACTGGTATTAAGAGGGGTTGGGTACCAGGGATCACCAGGTGCTGTGGGAGACTTCCAGGATAGCCAAAGGCTTGTTGCTGATTGCTCAGGTAACCAATTACTGGTGGCTGAGTCCCAGTGTAGAAGGCTGCAGCAGGCAACCCAACAGGAAGCTGCTCTGAGGCGCTGTGGGTGGTCTGAATGACTGTGTGAGGGGATAAGGTGGCAACTGCTTTCACCCCATCATGACCCATAGTCTGTTGTGGAGATAAAGCATAGGATCGGTGAGCTGTTTTTCCTAAATGCAAGCTTCCCTTTTCTCCAAGGGCTGAAGGAGGTGTTTCTCTGCTAGTGGCTTGCTGGACCTCCATGTCTGCAGTAGGTGTGCTGCTGTTGGGGACAACCATAACTGAGGACCGGACACTGGAGGAATCCCGTGCAATGTAATCAGCAGGGCTCGAGTGGACCACCACATGTCTGGCCTCATACTGATGAGATGGTTTATTGCCTGATTTGATAAGATTCACTTCTGAGGATGGCGAGATGCCATATCGCCTACTCTTCTCTATTTCTCCATTCAGTATTTCTTTTGCTTGCATAGCCTGCATCCTGCTGCTCTCGGACTTCTTGGTGGACTCCCTAGTGACAAAATGGCTGCCAGAATCTGCATATTGCACCACCACTTGGGAGGAGGGACCGAGGGTGAATGCATGAGGAATCACCGTCTGGTGGGGATGCAGATGGACTGGGATGGTCGGAGGGGAGACATTTCTGACAGCACTCTGGGAGCTAGAAATATGGACATACTGGTTTTGCTGGGTTGGTGGAGGAGACCCTGCTGTGATCAATCCAGGTGTCCTGACTAGATGTGGCTCAACTTTGTGCCCTTGCTGGTTTAGGTTGCTCACACTGGCCAGCAAAGTGGAATACGCCTCCAGCTGGGAACGCTGGGATGGAGTGGTTGCAACAGCAGTGGCAGAGGCTGCTGTGCTGGTTGCAGAATTGGCTGTTGGGGAAATAAGTGGGGAAGGAATAAATCCGGCATATGGTCCACTATACTGGGGCCCAACAAACTGGAAAGTATGTTGCAGGTGTGTGTACTGCACTGGGGAAACAGGAGTCCCTGCCTGTGAAAGTGCAGATGGGTACACTGTAGGAAGTGTTGCAGTAGCTGGAACTGACCTAGGTGCACTAGGTAGGGAATAATCTATTCCTGTAGATAGTGACTTGTGTAAACCTATTCCCAGTTGTGACCCAGCTTCCACCGAGATCCCTCCAGGCCTGTTCCGCCCAGCTGCACTGCTCTGGCCACTGGTTGTACTTGAGAGCCATGACAAGTTATCTGCACGGTGGTTTTCACTGGCCAGGACTAATGGCTTCACGTCAGAAGGCAGGCTGGTGGCAGGGATCTCTCGCTTCTTGGGTGGCAGGCATTCATTGCTTCTTTCCTGGTTGGATTTCATTTTTCACCAGCCCCTGCCCACTTCTGTGGCTTCACTGCCTGGCTAGCTCTGATTTCAGTCTGCTAAGCGGAAAGTCACATTTGATTTCTGAAAGGGATCCAGAGACTTCATGAGGAATCATCTCCCTGTGAGCACAATCCTCCACAAGCATCTCTGGAATGAGATAGAAGAAGACAAAAAGAAAGTGGGGTAGAAGAGGAAATCAAAATGCTAGCAGAAACAAAGTAAACTAATATAAATCAATAACATTCTTTTTGCAAGATGCTCTGGTATATCATTGTTGCAGCACTAGGCTAATTAAAACTATTATTTTTCTCAACGTACATCCAAGGGCAGAATCTTTAAGAGTATGTCCTTCAGCTTTCAACCCCAATTACATTTACTTGAAAACAAAATCCATTGGATACAGTAAGATTTACTTTCAAGTAATGATGCAAAGTATCTCTTTCCCACCTTTCTCACAAGAAATATAAGGTTCCCACTAAAGCATGCAGCCTTAATTTTTGTGATGGAGTGTTATTTACACACTGCATGGTAGTTTATTTTGGTGAATGTACACAGTGGACATTAGTAACTATCGTCTTAACTGGGATGATAATTTTACCAACACAAAGGAAGACAGTAGCACATCAATGATTAAAACACTGCACAAAATGAAACTTACTGTGGCAAGCTGTACTTAAAATGTATCCCAAAATTAATTTGAATTAAATACATATGTGTATTTCCTGCCTTTTTTTCTTCACTATGAAAATGAAGGCAATGTATATGCTTTAGAGATCATCAACATTAAACTGGAAAATAGGCAAAAATAATCTCCATGGCAATAATAGAGCATGGGAATTATTCATTTCATCACTTTTCAAATATAACTTAAATCAGGGACACAAAATCAAAGATGGTTTTGCCTTTATAAGTATTTTTTGTTACAGGTGTTGAAATATTTCTTTCCATCACCTCTCCTTTGGCTTTTCTTTTTGAACTACTCACTAGAGAAGTGCCTGTATAAGGATTTTACTTTTTGATCCCTGTGACAGTGATCTACATGGATAGATTAAGCTCTACCTACATGGTTAGAATTACATGCTATGATAATCGTACATGTAGCTCCAATCATATAATGTTCCCTTGTTTCTTGGTAACCAATGAATTGTGAGCTGCAGCTGTTGCCTGATTTCTCCCTGTGTAGGAGAAGAGCACTTTAAAATGACTGGGAGCTACTCTGTATTAGGAAACAGGTTCAATAAACTTTGGGGTAGGGGAACATAATTTTAAAAATTAGGGCAAGTCTAGGGCAGCTAGACAGCAGCTGCAAAATTTGGTTCTGAATGTCAGAATTATCCTGGCGTCCTCCTTAGAGGATGGTCTGGTTTTCTATACTGTGGCAGATTTTAAGTGTGGGATTGCAGCAAAAGACTGCATGAGCTAGTATAAATATCTTTGCCTGTGAGAGTGCAGAAAAAACCCCCCTGGAATATAGGTCAGAGGTCTTAGCATCTCAGAACAGAGCTGTAACATAAGTGACCCCTTCTTTCAAAAAAATCCCCTCAAGATTCTTTGGATGCTGAGTCTTGGCCTAAAGCCAAAAAGCAGTAGAAGACAGAGGGGACACACATCCCCAAAATTGTTTATAGAAGATTGTAGGGTACATGGTTTGGCTGAAATGAGGCAAAGCTTTAAGTTTTCTATTGAGTATCTCCATCTTCAGCATGTTCACATGCACACACACTCATAATTAGAACGCCACTGAGAAGAACAGCAATAGTCAACACATTTTTATACTGACTGTAATTTTGGCAAAGCTGAAGACCCTTCAGGGGTCTTGCAAAGGTCTTGACCCATCAGAGGGCCAAGCTCTAAACAATAAATATTTGTGTGGGGGGGAGGGAGGGAGGAAGAGAGATATCGGTTTTAAAAAAACAGAATACTGTATTAGAATTATGATCTTTGGAACACTGGTGGACAGGAAAGAGAACAGACTCTACTGGCAGATTCCTAACTGACCTGTGTGACTTTTATTGCTGAAATGAAGAAACTTTACATGGAAGGACTATTAGTTCAATCAAGTTCTGGTAAGGTAAAGGTAAAGATTTCCCCATGACATTAAAGTCCAGTCATGTCTGACTCTAGGGGGCAGTCCTCATCTCTGTTTCTAGCCAAGGGAGCCCACATTTGTCCGCAGACAGTTTCCGTGGTCATGTGGCCAGCATAACTAAACACCGAAGTGCACAGAATACTGTTACCTTCCCACCAAAGTGGTATCTTTTCAGCTACTTGCATTTGTATGCTTTCAAACTGCAAGACTGGCAGGAGCTGGGACAAGCAATGAGAGCTCACCTCGTTGTGCGGATTCAAACTGTAAACCTTTCGATCAAACAACCCAGCAGCTCAGCAGTTTAACTCACTGCACCACCACATCCCTATCAAGTTCTGGTACTTAGTATTAATTTCTTTGTTCAGAATTTTTTGAGTTGTTTGACATTTGCACCTATTGGATCTTGGGAGTTCTACTTAAAAAGTATTTTCCATTAGACTAAAGATGGCCCATCTGTGCTTGAGAGAACACAAACTTAACATATTCTTTCATTTTGGCCCAATGACATTCATTTCTAGAATTTGGGGTGATGGTGATGATATATACTGAATGAAAGTGCTTGTAAATGGATCTCTGTGATCTCTGCTAACTACAGAAAAAAATACTAATTTAAGCAATGCAAGTACGGTAAGCAGAAGTCCTAGCTGGAAGATAATCCAGGAATGAACTCCTTGGCATATCTTTTGGTAGAATTTATCATTTCCACTTAGAATTAAATTGTGAAAATATCTGAAGAGCTATATCCCACTAATTGTAAACCACCCAAAAAGCTTTGGCTATTGGGCAATACAGAAATGTGCTCAATCACAAGTAATTCAGCATCAAAAAGAACTATACTGAAACAAGCCCTGCAAAAAAGTCAGTCTGCAGGCTGCATGTTGCCCATGATTGTCTAAGAAAAATGAAGGACTATGTTAAAAGGGGCTAATTTTAAAGAGCACTGTAAATGTATAATTATTTATGATACAATGATGGTTATGCAATGCTACCAGATATGAAAAAAGGAATCTATACCTACAGAACTGCTAATAGACAGTGCCAATGTAATGCAGTTTATTATAGCTGTATAACTCACAAATCTCACAATGGCTAAGTAAGTGATTCAGTTTACTAACTGGTAACCATATCTCTCTAGCGCAGGTGTCCAACCTTTTGGCTTCTCTGGGCCACACCGGAAGAAGAAAAATTGTCTTGCACCACACATGAAATACACAAACACTAATGAAAGCTGATGAGAAAAAAACAAAAAGAAAAACAAAAAGAAAAAAAGGTATGTGCATAATTTTTGTGATATCTGCCACCACAGATAAGGAAAACAATCCTCACATAATAATCTTAATTATGTAGCACCCCGTTTGGAGAGTCCTTTAAAATCGTCAAGCAGGTCCCAAGTTTGTGATCACTAATATAGAAATGAACATATATAAGTAATAAAAACTTCATTGTTTTTTGATATTTTTATTATAAAAGTAAAAGAAAAGAGGGAAACATAAAACTAGTGGGATATTTGACATTGTATTTGAGAAATTAATGCATCAATATCTGGTTTAATGGAAGTAGTTGCAATTCTCAGTGAGTTCTCAAGGTTCTTGTCAGATATTTTAGTTCTAATTTTGCTCTTAGTGTGTTTCATTCTTGAAAACAGTTGCTCACAAATGTAGGTGCTGCCAAAAGCAAAGACATGAATAAGGCGTGATTGTGAAGCAAGGGGTATTTGTCTATGAGAAGACAGGACCTATACAAGTCCATGATCAATTTTTTAAATTGAATGTCAGATTGCAGAATGTCAGATCTATGCATTCCATTTGAAAATTGGCAAGTAACGTATTTATGTCAACTGAAAATGAGGCACAAATATACCAAAATAGTGATTATTTCCCCAGAAATCTTGAAATCTGTTTTCAAATTCTTGTATCAAATTGAAAAGCAAGTCTGCATATTTTTCACTGTTCACAGGACTGTGTTTAGCCAATTTGTCAAAATGTATAAAATTGTTTGCAACAGTAGTTTGAAATATTATTGATAATAGCTGTGTTTCACTTCCCAAGTCACCGTGAGCACATGTAATGTCTGATGGTATCAATTTGACTGTCTGCGCTTGAAAGATAACACAGTACCTTAAAACTGAAGCCATGCATGCATACAAATAGCATACATACATTTATTTTATGTGATGTTGCAACACAACGTTGATGTCTACAAAGTTCACAGTCGAGAACTGTGCAATCAAGTTATCCCCCCCCCTCAAAAAATCACAAAAGAATCTCAAATGTTTTAAGTAAGTTTATGATTTTGAGTTGGGCTGTATTTGCAGCCATCCTGGGTTGCATGACGCCCACAGGTCACGGGTTGGACACCCCTGCTCTAGTGCCTTAGACAAGCTCAGTCCTGCCACTTGGCATGTATAAAGCACAAATGCCAGAGAGTAAGACTGGGACTTAAGTCATGTGAAGATATGCTTTACTTTTGAACCTCCTTAGAGGTTTGCTTCAGACAATCAAACAATCTATGGTTAACAATCCATGAGCTACCACATCAATCCCTGGGTTGTTTAAACAAAGAATTAGCATTATGTGTGAATTGGGTGATTATGGTATAGCCATTAAGATTGCTTGACTAGGACACAGGAGGTCTTGGAGGTCCAGACTCTCAGCTTAAGCTATCTTACAGGTTTGTTATGAGGGTAAAATGGAGAGAATGAAATCTTTGTAAACTGCCTTGGGTTATTGACCTGACTCATTGCATCCAATCATGATGAGTGCTCTACAAAATTGGCCAACATAGGTCTATATAGGTCATAGACCCATGCATGAGACCACACTGATGAGAGCCAGAGAATAGAATAGACCAAAAATTTTGTGGAAGAAGATCTGATAAATGTTGTTATTGTAATATGAATTTTCTTTTAGAGAAACAGAGCTGGAAGTTATCATGCCTGAAATGTTCCTATTGTTCACTTTTGTTGAATTCCACAGGACTATTCCTGTACTTGGGTTATGTCTTGACTATGCTTAAGCTCATCATTAATTTCACCTAATCAATGAAGAACAATCAAAAT